AATGAGTATAAGGACCCAAGAGAGGTGGGAGAGGCTGGAAGCAGAGGGATGTGGATGTGCAGGGGGAGGGAGGATTAATCATTGGGTTGTACAATTTTATGGGGGGAGGGGGAGGGAAATTGAAAGAATTTGTTCAAATTTGTATTTGAATTTTGTAAATAAACTAGTAGAAAAATTTTTTTTTTAAAAAAAAGAACCCTTAGTGTCACACTGATTACACACTTGGCTGCCAACCAGGATTGTCGGTATGAACTCACCCCCGTGACTCTCAGGGAAAAGCACTGGAAAACTTGCTGCTGTAGAGATGACGGCCTGCGGGGCAGGTCTCATTGGTCAGAAGGCATGACTATGAGGGGAACCTGGCTCCTTGCGTCTACTAGTCAATCAGGGAAATAGATTTACATTTTCAAAAGGAGGCCAGAATGAAGGCTGCACAGTGGAGTGAACTTGGAGGGAGGGATTGTATAGTAATGAAAGAAATTTTCTTTTACTTTTCAAAGAGAAGAATGAAATGGGGAGGGGAGGGCATAGGTAGGGAGAAAAGTGCAACAATGAATGAATGGAAGCCCCAAGTCTCTGTAAATTTTCATTAAAATTAATTAAAAAAAGGGAGTGTCAGAGACAGTGCGATTGGCACAGGACAGAGCAGAGTTTAGGGCTGTTGTGCATAGGGTCGCTATGAGTAGCAAGCGACTCGACGGCACATAACAACAACAACAACAACAACAAAAAAAAAAGGTCACTGGGCCAGCATTGTGGCATTTAGTGGAAAGTAGTGACAACTGAGGACCAAGGGAGAGAAGAGGGTTCAGACAACCAAAATAGCAGTGAAAGGGTGAAGAGAAGGAGTTGAGTGACTTTATTAATGTGGGAGGTGCCTCAGAAGCCCAGAAGACTCCTGATGTCAGGAAACAAAGATCACAGTCGAGCTAGAGATTTTGGAATGTATGTCTATAAGACCTTATCAAGGAACTTTGAACAAGTCCTATTTGCAGAAATGATGTTCCATCTGTGTTTGCTATTCTTTTCATTGATGTGAAAACAAGCTTCTGAATACTAATAATTCCTTACCTGAGCGTGCTTGAGGCAATACACGTGATATGCCCACACAGGAATAGAAAATGAGAAGACAATATTAAAGCGTCATAGTCTCAAGCACCTTCTGATTCAGGCATTTTAGCCACTGATGAAGTTGACACAGTGTGCTGGACAGTGCAGGGTGAACTAAGAACTTGGCCTTTGCAAAACAACAAGTCCCCGAGAACTGTTAACACTCCTGAATGCTTGATGAGTACCAGGGACGGTGTAATCATTCCCAATACGTGGCTGAATTTATCCCTGAAAAAAAATTTATGATTTGCTATTTGAACCCCAATTATGCAGAAACATATAGAGGCCCAATAAAGCAGAATGCAAACAAAGAACACGCAAATAAATGTGTCTAATAATGTGTTGTAGATCCTTCAGTAGCAACGTGCACAGAATTAACTGTCAAGTAAAGAACTGCTCTGGAGCCTTCCAATCCGACAAGAAGATGAATATGCCCACATTATGGAGGCCGTAGAATTCTTTCTGGAAACCACAGTGTTTCATGTTATTCATTGGCGTTTCAAAAAATCATAATCTTAAAATGTAGCATTAATTCCCCCTAATCTGGCCTAGAACTTAGCTTTTTTTTTTTTCTTCTTATTTCCATTTTATTCCCTTTGCCACTGATTTAGTCATGCCCCATGCCTGTCTCTTGTCAAATGTGCCAATGAACATTTCCTCATCCATACACTTGTGCATTCAGCCACCCATAGATAGGGTCATTGATTAAATGACCCAGCAGACATTGGTGGTGACTGCTACGTGCCAACTCTGGTCTTCTCTCTTTTTTTTTTTTTAGATAAAAATGTGTGAAAAACGGGGGGGTGGGGGGCAGCAGTTCAAATCAACTAAAGCACCACACAAACTCTGTTCTTGAATAATGTTCCTCCCTATGATTTGCCCCCGAGAATTGTGCCCATCACCACAGAGGGATTGAAGGAAAGGGGTCATTCCTTCTTTAGTTTCAGTGTTTACTGTGTTGACTTGCCCAGCAGGGGTTTATGTGAAAGGTTTATGTGAATAAATTTCAGAATGCCCACTTTGAAAAACCAGCCATGTTTACTTTGGAAGTAAGTAGCACGTGGATCCTTTGAATTGTAGGAGTGCGATTATAAATGGCTGGCCCTGTAAAAATAATTTCTTCTTGCAGTTGCTTTGCCCATGGCTGCTGACCTTGAACTCTATGATGTGACTGAGAACAGTCTCCGCGTCAAATGGAATGCAGTGGCTGGAGCATCTGGGTACCTGATCCTCTATGCACCTCTTACTGAGGGTCTGGCTGGAGATGAAAAAGAGGTAACCACCCACTGTCCGATCAAAAGAAACACCTCAGATTCACTGCCATTGAGTTGGAACCAGTTCATAGCTGACTCTCCAAGTGGATTTTCACAGGTTGTAAATGACACAGAAGGATCTTGTCCCTTTTTCTCTTATGGAGCAGCTGGTGGATTTGAATGACGGGTCTTTAGGTTGGCAACCCAGCTCCTACACCATAGGCCACCAGAGCTACAAAGTTTTACTTTCTTAACATCATCTATTATAAAATTTCAGTCCATAACATACAGAAATTTCAGAGAAGCAGTTAGAACAAAACAATGAAACACTTATAATCCCACTATCTACAGAAAACTTTTGATAACGTTTAGTTAACCTTTTTTGCGTACAATTAAACTGTCAATGATTAATTTTTGCTGTTGAGAATAGACTAGCAATGTTGTTGTTGTTATATACTGATGAGTAAGAGTCAATTTACAGCTGACCCTCCAGTGGATTTTCAAAGGCAGTAAATCACTCAAGACGGCATTGACCAACTCTCTCCGTTGGAGCAACTGACTGATTTTTGAACTGCCTACCTGTGGGTTGCAGCTCCACTAGGCCATCAGAGCCCCTTTATATAAACCTTTCGTCAGTTCAGTCCTTTCTGTGCTTGAAAGGCTGGACGATCAGTGAAGAAGATGAAGAATTCTCAGCTGTGGACTGACACAGTGACTGCTGCAATTGGCTTGAGTGTGTCAGGAAGTGTGAAGACGGCACAGGATAGGACAGGGTTCAGGTCCACCGTTCATAGGGTCGCTAAGAGTCATATTTAACCCGTCAGCACCTAACACCAACAACAACAGTGACGTCTATTACATTTTTCAGAGTGATAAAATATTGAAAAAGCACTTTTGGGTGATCTGATTATGTTGGTTTTTTTTGTGTTTTTTTTTTTTTAAAAAAAAGAGATCTGATATCATTATGGAAAAAAATTCCTATTTCTTGGATCTTAAGTTGGGGGAGCATCAGGGTATATGTGTTATTTTCTGTACATTTCTTTATGTGGAAATATTTAAAACTTTTAAAAAACCATTTAAAAATTACACTGTAATTGTGTGGCACACAGTGTGCCTTAAGATTTTACCTGCTTCTTTTTCAAAACGCAGATAAAACTCTGTCGTGACTGGTCACAGAAGAGAGAATGTCCACTCATGTGACTCACCCTGAGTCAGCAGAGATAGCCCGGAATCGAAGCGCAAGTTGCTGAGTTGGGTGTAGAAACGAGTCGCTCTCTTTGAATAAGGAAGGAACTTTGAGTCTGCAGGAGGGATCTCCTGGTGACGTCAGGACCCAGCTCAGTCAGACATGAGACAAGAAGCCAGGCGTCCAGCCAGGGCACTAGCTAGGATGTGTGGTGAAAGATGCCCACATGGCCCTGCCTTGAGCGTGCTGGCCTGAGTCTTACACTCACTCTTTCTAGAGCACATTTCTCATTCAGTTCCACCCACATGGCTTTGGGGGCCATGCAGTTGACTTTGTTTTTCTGGCTGCAGTTACCGTTTGTCCAGATGTAAAGAGTTATCCTATAACAGCATGCCTGAGTTTCTTCAGTTTTATATGGTCCTGTGGGATCTGTTCCTAATAGAAAATGGCAGGAAATAATTCAAAGAGTTAGGACTCTGACCCTGCTGGAAAAAGGGATGAGAGGGGCTCAAAGTCTTCTCCCACAAAAACGCATCTCTATGAAGTTCCTCTCCGTTCAGCATTAATACTAAATAGGCAAATGATCTGATAAGTGTTTTCTTCATAGATGAAAATTGGAGAGACCCACACCGATATTGAGTTGAGTGGGCTTTTACCCAATACGGAATACACAGTCACCGTTTATGCCATGTTTGGAGAAGAGGCCAGCGATCCGGTTACAGGGCAAGAAACAACATGTGAGTAGTTGAATCATACAGATTAAATACTTTGAAAACAGCCCCCAAAGTGCTGGCATCTTTAATTGGATATACAAGTTTAGGTTGAAACATATTAAGAGCTAATCATAACTTAAGAAAATACATATCTTCCTTGTGTGTTTGTGTGTGTGAGGTTGTAAATGTATGAATATTGCAGCTGAGCTTTAGATTCCTCTAGATAATTCTACCGATACCCTTGTCTAAATCCAAATGCTAAATCAGAATATAGAGGAAAAAGCATAGACTTCGAGGAAGAGAAGTCAAGTTGGAACTCCAACTCATTAATTTTGTTAGTTAAGTTTCATAACATTTATTCTTGGTAATCTGTATAAAAGTTATTGACACTTTCAAGGATTATTGATTAATTTAAAATTGGTTGAATCAGAAAGTTGTACCTGAGGATTTGACAGAAGGCTATGTATTTTATAGGAATCCACAGAAGAACCTGCACTTTTTCTAAAATTTCAGCCAGCAGCAAAGTACTGTGGTTTTGTTTGTCAATTTTTTAAATTAGTCTCACAAAAATATTACGAGTCTCTAAGGCAGGATATTCATTCATTAAGTAATTTTTGAGTACATGTTATATTAGGGATACAAATGAAGGCAGAATTGAAGCAAAATCCCTGATCCCTGAGAATGGAGCCAAAATGCAACATGTAGGAGTAGAAATACAGTAAACTATGAAATGTGAAATGTGATAAAAAAACATGGAAGGAAGGGAGGTTGTGTTAGATAGAAGAATGAATTTGGATAATGTGATTACATAAAACCTCACAAAGATGGTCACACAGGTCCAGCCACCTGAGACAGGTGAGATCAGCCATGGACATAGGTGAGACATAGCGTTCAAGGCAGAAAGAGTCACATGGCAATGGCCTTCGATTTGAGCTTCCTTGATAATTGGCATAGGGATGATGCTTATAAATGATGCAAGCAAAAAAGAGAGTGGTAGGAGATTGAGTGGTTGAGACCAGTTTGGCAGGGGACCAGGTATGGAGAGCCTAGCAGATCACTGAGGAAGTTGGCTAATTGTTTGGAAGGTTTTGCACAGAGGATTGAGATGGTCTGACACGCTTTTAAGGGATCACACTTGCTACTCAGAAAGTCACTACCTATTGTTGTGGAAAAGGTTAAGCCAGAGTCCTCCTTGGAGGCATGGATGGCAAAGCTTCATCTGTCATGCTTTGGTGTGTTACTAGGAGAGACTATTCCTTGGAAGGGATATCATGCTTGAAAACGTGGAAGGTCCGTGAGAAAGAAGACCCTTAATGACTGACATGTCTATGGCCGCAATAGGCTCACATCTATCAGAGAGGGTGAAATGGCACAGGATAGATCAAGATTCATATCTGTTGTGCATAAGGTTGCTATGAGTCTGCCTCAACTTGATGACACCTAATCACAACAATAACAATATGGACAGAGGCAGGGAGATCAGCTATTAGCCAGAGTCCATTGCAGAATTCTAGGTGTAAAGTAACAATGTCTTTCCCCCCCAAGATGTAAGCAGTGCTAATTGAGAGAAGCAGTCCACTTTTGAAGATCAGTAGAAAGAATTGTTGATAGACTAAGAGTGGACTATGAGAAGAAGAGGAGTCCAAGATACCTCTAAGTTTTTAGGCAAAAGCAATGGGAAGAAAAACTATCCTTATTCACTAATAAGAAAGATGCCCATAAGTCTACCAAGCACGTTGAAGGAGAAGAGCAGGATTCAGTAGTTGGTTTTTGGATTTGTTCACTTGGTGATGCCTCATAGATACCCAAGTAGAAATGACAGATGGACTTCTCTCATTTTGCACTTGGGAAATCATGGGACAGAGAAGTAGGAAGGCTTTACCTGACTGGTGCCTGAATGGAATGCCTTAGGCTTGAATGCAGGTATCCTGGTTTTGATCTAGTAGAATGATTCCTCATTTGTATCCAGTTATAATAGTTCTAGGTTCGAATCCCCAAATGCTTTGCTGGAGAAGGAGGGGCAATCTCCTCCTGTGCCAGTCAGATCCGACTCAACAGTATACAATAACAAGAAAACAAGAGTCAAAGTTATAATAGCTCTAACTGGAAGAAGAATAAACAGAACATGTTCTGAAATATTGTTTATTCATGTTGTTGTTATTGTTGTTGTTGACTGCCTTCAAGTCGAGCACAATTCATAGCAACCCTACGAACAAAAAAGGCTTGAAGCCCCTCTACAGCTATTGCCATTTATCAAAGTTCATAGAGTTTCCAGAGGCATGTTATTTAGGAAGTGGATGCCACTCCTGCTTCCAAATTCATTCATAAGCATGTGTAACTGATTCCTGCTATTCATTCATTATAAAGAAACCTCTTGCTTATGAAAGTGCATTCTTTGTTTTATGTAAGACAATTCATTGACATTTTAGAGTTTGAAATTAATAATAGGTGATTATGTCTTGTATGTGACTAGTTCAGAAATCAAGATGGTTATTTCTCATCTCTCTCACAAGTATGCTATTTAGAGATTAGTAATTTTTTTTTCTATTTCGTTTACTGTAAAGTGCCTTTAAGCCCACCGAGAAACCTGAGGATCTCCAACATCGGCTCCAACAGTGCCCGGTTAAGTTGGGACCCCACATCAAGGAAGATCAGTGGTTATCGAATTGTTTATAACAATGCTGATGGAACAGAAATCAATGAGGTAAGTAGTGGAAGATGTAGTGTAATGTATAGGTGATTATGTTTTGCTGAAAGTGAGGAGGACTTGAAGCACTTGTTGCAGAAGATTAAGGAATGTAGCCTTCAGAATGGATTGTATCTCAATATCAAGAAAACAAAGATTCTTACCACTGAACCAATAGGCAGCATCATGATGGATGGAGAGGAGATTGAAACCGTCGAAAGCTTCATCCTGCTTCGATTCACAGTTAACACCCTTGGTACCAGCAGTCAGGAAATAGGAGATATATTGCACCAGGAAAATCTGCAGTTAGGGACCTCTCCAAATTATTGAGGAGTAATGATGTCAGTTTGAGGACTAAGGTACATCTGATTCAAGGCCTTTCCGATTACTTGCTATGCATCTGAGAGCTGGACAGTGAGTCAGGATGACAGAAAAAGAATTGACACCTTAGAGCTGTGCTGTTGGAGAAGAACACTAAACATCCCAGGGACGGCCAAGAGAACAAACATATGTTTTGGAGAGTGTGCAGCCGGGGAGCTCATTGGAGGCGAGAATGATGAGACTTCACCTCACATACTTTGGACATGTGACTAGGAGGGGCTATTCCTTGGAAAAGGACATGATGCTGGGCGAAGGAGAGGAAGACCCTCAAGCAGGCAGATTGACACAGTGACTGCTGCAGTGGGCTCTTGTGTGTCAGGAAGTATGAGATTGACTCAAGATAGAGCAGGGTTCAGATCTTTTGTTCATTGGGTTGCTATGGGTCATGCTCGACTTGACTGCACCTAACTAAAACAATAACAATAGTGTGTTTTACATGATCTGTTGCTGCATTTCCAGTCATCTCAAGGAGTAATAGCTCAAACCAGCTCTATCCAGTTTTTAAGGACACTTCCTGTGGTCAGGAATTGAAGAGAAGCTTGGATGTACAGTTCTGGCTTGGAGTCATTCGTGTGATTGTAGCCAGACTGTGGTTGGAGTTGGTGCTATCTTGAAAGTTTCTATAGTTGTATATCTGGTACTTGCCCTGGAAAGACTGAGATCACCCTCTGTATCTCTAACTGGGTGCTTCACATGCTCTACCCAGCAGGGAAGCTTAGCTTTTTCCATTTTGACCCAGGATCTTAAGTACACATGTCCAAAGGGAAAGTGAAGTGAGCCAGTTAGAAGCTATAATGTCTTTTGAGAATCAGTCTTAGAAGTCATAATGATAATACCGCTTCTCTGGTGGCCTAGTGGTAAGAAGCTAAAGCTGCGCTCAGTCCCTAAGCTATGCAGTTCAAATCCACCAGCTGCTTTGCAGAAGAAGGAGGAGTAATCAGTCTTCTTCTGTGGATTTACTGCCTCTGAAAACCTGCTGAAGGGTCAGCTGTGGGTCAGTTCCAACTCAATGGCACTGCCAACAATTACCACCACCCTCGGTGGAAGATGCTACAGCCCCCACTAGAGTTTACCACCAAGAGGAACCCAGATTCCATCTCTTCGGGAAGGACTACCAGGCACATTGCAGAAGACTGTGGGGTGGAGGATGTACACTGAGGGGGGACGATTGTTAGAAAATGCAGCACTCACAAGGGGCTGGGAGTAAGAAGTATGTTTGCAGAAGTAATAAATTAGTAATGAGGTCAGTTTTTTAGTTTAACCTTTTATTTTGGGATAAGCTGGCATCTGAAGGACTTCAGTTAAATGAGGTTAAGTTGAAAACTTTAAGAGTCCAAGTTCAGTTGGTTGTTTTTCTGTTTTGTTTTGTTTGTTTTTTTTAAGAGTCCAAGTTTTGTGTAAAATGAACAAAAATATTTCAAAATAAAAAATAAAAAAATCCTCACAAATGATGCAGATCACGAAACCTGAACATAATCTCTAATGTTTTTAGAAATTCTTTCCTTGGAAATATGTTTCACAGGCTAACTAAGCAGAGTTATGTTAGTTTTTTCCTTATCTGGGTCCAAGAAGCTATGATAATGAGAGAAATATGTTTGTTCTATTACATCATTTCTTGTTTTCTGACCAAATAAAGCAAATCATTTCATATGAGGAGATAAAGCTTTTTCCTACAACTAAATTCAAGCCACATTTTACAGAATGCATCCTTCTATGGGGTGCTAGGTGAGCAATGTTTGTGCATTTGCCAATGCAGAGAAATGCAACCCAAAGAGACATGCCTTTAGTTGTAACTTTGTAACCTCGACGACAAATATTTCTAATGTGGCTGGTCTCAACCAGATGCTTTTGAAGTGTAAAGTAGTAAAACAACTGAAAACAAAAGCACTGATCCACATTATTCTCTCCCTGTCACTGATAAAAAATGCCCTGCTTTGCCAAGAGTAGCAAGTTCAGCTTTTGAGGAGCACCTCATGATCAGTGTAAATGAACGAAACAGTCATCAAACATGTGGAAATAGTCACCTCTCCAAAGAAAGAAACTTTTCCTGTTCCTAAAACGCGAGGCTTCCTTTAACTGTAATTTGTATTTCTATTTTGGGGACATGGATACAGAAACAATTCTCTAATGGAAAAACAACAGCAATCCCAGATGAGTGGTAAATGACAGTAAACACTTGACTTCCACGTCAGGGAGTGGTGCAGAGGATGGATGCAGATGTGTGTTTCTGTCCCAGAGGTGAACAGTATTGGTGCCTATAGGTTGGGGCTGCAAAGAAATTCATGTTTAGGGCTACATCATAATCTGATCATGGGAGAGGGCCCAGGAAGTTCTTTTTTTATGTGAAACTTAACCTATTTAACTTCTTCCCTCAGTAAATGGCCAGAATAAGCACAATTCTGTTTACTGGACACTGTTCACATCAAGCATCCTTCCTTCTTTGGCAATGATTATTAATAAAGCAGAAAGAAGCTTATATATATATATATATATCAGTTACACTTTCTGTTTGCGATATAATAAATTTTATTTGTGACTTCTGGTATTTTATGCTGTCTACCTTTATATAAAATGGACCCAGATGAGATCTGTTTATGGGGAATGTGTGAGTGTTTGTTTGTTTAAATGTCATTTTCTTACGCTTTCTAGCTTGCATTGTGCTGCCAAATGAGAGATCTGTGCTTGATTAAATGGTCTTCGAATAAATACTGGAGGTCATTTTTATATGAGTGATATACTTAATTTTGGGATTTTATAACATTTGATATGACTAGTAGATAGGAGTATGTGGATTTTTTTCCCCCCTGAGGACCTTGTTTTAATTGTTTTTAGTCAAACATTCTTCTAAGTGGTATAGCACTGGCCTGTCCATTTTCTGTACAGAGGTAACTCGTGGTTGCCGTGATGCTGAACACTCTGACACTGATGTGTCAAACGCGAGAATGGTTACCCATGGTGGACAGTGTGTGGTGGAGCTCTCAAATTAAAACAGGCTTGGAAGCAGGAGTGGCGTCCACTTCCGAAATAGCTTGCCTCCGGAAACTATGAATTTAGAGAAATGATGAAAGTTATACGAGTGTTCAGATCTTTCATTCATAGGGGCCCTATGAGTCGTCTACAACTCGATGACACTTAACAACAGCAACAACAATTCTTAATCTGTAGCCATGTAGCTGAGGGCAGAGATTATTAGTATCTTTTAAGGAAACCATTAATTCCCTTAAATTGGAAATAGATCATTTTAGCAATGTCTGTTACTGTCTGATTTTGCTATTATGGGCAATCTCCTCCCGTACAATTAACTGCCTCTAAAAACCTGCTGCAGGGTCAGGTATGTGTCAGTTCCGACTCTATGGTACACAGCAATTTATAGATAATGCAGTCATTGGATTTTAGGAAAACATTCTGGAATAAACTTTCAAAGGTGCCCAACTAAAATCCACTTACTAGCTATCTAGTATTGTTGTTTTGTACTGTCAAGTCAGAACCAACCCAGAGTTGACCCTCCAGCAGATCTTCAGTCTGTAAATCACATGAGAGGAGATTGCCCATCTTTTTGCCCCAAGGTCCTGATGGTGGATTTAAACTGCCTGCCTTTGAATTATAAAAGGTTTCTCAATTATTCACTGTTGGTGGGAGTGTAAAATGGTGCAACCACCCACTGTGGAAAGCATTGTGGCGCTTTCTCAAAAAGTTGCAAATAAAGATACCATTTGACCCAGCAATTCCACTACTGGGAATATACCCT